TTGCTCGTCGTTTTGGAAGAAATGGGTGGATTGGGCTGTGCCGAATGGTCTCAGAATCAAATACTACAGAAACAGCCATGGTTGTGAGGGTGGAGATCGGGGTTGGGGAAGTGGGGTAATATTGAGGGAGCACCCATGTAAGAAGGGTCTTCCAAATTTTATAAGAATGCGAACGCGAAGGCCGACCACGGTGAGTTATCTTCACTGTTCTACATCTTCTACAACGGTCGCTAGTCTCTGTAGAAATGGCCAGGGTCGTGGGAAACCAGTCGTTGAACTTGAGGAAACCCAATTCCTATACGGCCCCCGAAATGTTAAAAGTAATCCACCTGTGGTTACGGGTATTAACCACTTCTGAACCGTTGATCTTCGTTTTTTTTCGCACCTCGCCATTTTCTACTCCCTTGCATCAGATGCAGTCAAAAACAACCCACCCCAAAATCCCAATTCCGCACCGTGCTGAAGCCGTAGGTTTGAGCTTTCTCATCGCGGATTCCGCAAAGCGCTGGTGTCGAGCCCCCGTAAAGGGCACGCTCGACAATTCTGCTGGCTAGAAAGAGAAGACTCTGTGTGGACCTGAATAACAAGGGCAAATTACAGGGCCGACTACTCCACGTTCCCACTATGTGACGTCACCGTCTCACAGCGCAAACATTTCACCAAGAAGTGTAAGCTTCTCACCACAGAGTAACTCAAGCGGAAGCTCCAGCAAAAGTAATCCAATGAAAAAGGTATGAAGTCAGTAAAGGCGAATGCTGAATAGAGGAAACATTTTCAAGAGGCCCTGAAACTCTTCCTCAACTAAATTTACAGAAATAATTGAGGAAGAGTTTCTACGGGTTATGCGCTGGTTCTATCATAGATAGTGATGGAAAGCTTTTGCAAGGTAGGGTCGACAAATAGATCCGGATACCCATAATGAGATGCGTACCGATATGCTCAATGGAACTCTTCTTTGAGTGGGGTTGTAAAGTGACGCAATTGTAGTGGTTTGTGCAACAATGGGAGGTCGTGGTATCAATTCCTTATCGTGTTTGCTCCTTTTTTTTCCTTTCAGTGACCTAAAATGAAGGAATTTGTCGAAATTTCATTAAAACTTTCGAAAGGTTTACGAAAGTTTAAGTTTATTTCTGTGCTACAGCTGCCACGGGTAGCCGTGGGGTAAAAGGCATGGTATGATTTCCTCGCAAACTCGTCGACCCCTACGGTAATGAAACTATTTTGTTGGAGGTTGTTCAGTTAGGTGCTGGAACCAGAAAAAGAACAAACTTGTCGAGGAGTCAACTCACGACCTTTTATGAACTTTGGAGCATTAGCATTGCGCTCTTCTGCGTTACACCTCCATAAAACTGTTCCGCACATTTCAAAAGCAGATTTGGGCTCAGCGCCTGAGGCGAGCATATCGGCATGCATCTTTTGTGAGTGTCGGATCGACCTGCTGACCTTTCATTGTCAGAATATACAAGTTCCGATTCCAAAACACTTTCAGATAATAAAAAAGTCGCGCTGGGTGTCCGTTCACGATGGTCGGCCTGTAAGCCCGTACACGGAGACAGTAACCTATGAACCAGCATTTCCAGATCGATATAGCAGGCGAGTTATTGGATTCAAGCTGGGGTTCGACGAGAGATATTGTCTTAATCTGGTAGAGTGACCGTTGAGTGTCTATTGAGAAAGTTTTCCGCCAGGAACCCTGGTATATAACCTATGTATGGCACACGTCCCACTCGTAATTGGTATTCATGGGAAATGAAGGGCTCAGTGTTGACTGACTTCATTCTGGTATGCGCTGTACCCGCGGTTTCCATTCAAATCGTGGACTCATTTGAATGGCTCAATTACTTGTGGAAACCATTTGTTGTGGTCGTTGTCATGACCAGGGTGAATAACGGTCGAGGATTTCCTCGACCATAGCTCTCTACCATGCGAGAGTAGTGCCGAGAGTGAACATCCGCGCGGAGAGCACAGACGGCACGCGCATGGCGAGTGTGAATGTCCGCGCGAGAGATCGTGTCTGATCGGGCAGAGAATCCTCGACGTGCCGTTGAGGAATCCTCAAGCGATATTCACCCTGGTCGTGGCCATGTCATTGTGACGACGTATGCCATTTATTCGTTCCTTTGAAAAAAAAAATCCAGGATATGGCGCTATCGATCCTCCTGTTTCTTTCTCGGGAGAGTCCCTTGAGCGTACATGCATCTTTCACCATCACAGTCCCTTTTTTTCAAAAAGTCTTTCTCTAGAGGACTTTTTATCCTCAAAGGAATCGCACACCAGCTGTGGGAATAATGGCTATGCAGTTAAGCAAAAGGTGCAGGCAAGGTTCTCCTGGAGCTATCTGGAGTGCAAGCCATTTCTTGAAGGGGTTATTTTGTTTCGTCCGGTATTGTCCGTAACGCGTTGAAGTATTGTCGGTTCTAATGATGACTTGTCATGAAAAAATAAAAACTTGACAAAAATTTCACTCTACCTGTAATATGCGCAGCGTGGGTCTATCCGTCTTTTTCTTCTCTCAGAAGTTGAACCGCACTTATCTACAAGTAGTTGAGTTTTTTTTTTGTTAAGAAAAGAAACTCTCTCTTATCTATAAGTATTTATGGCATGGCTTTCATAACCATTTTTTTGCTATGCCATTCAGTAATTATGAAATTTGTCACCAAGTTTACGCAGCTAGAGAGGTGGTCCTGATGGCACCCGTTGAAAATGCCTGCAGTTCAGAGGCGGATTCCACAGTAAAGTCGGAGGTCGAAGAAGGGGAATGCATCCAGGCCGTAGTCACGCCGCTTTTACCTGTGCACCCCTTCCGATAGGTAACCCTTCGCCTCTGCCGTTTAGCACAGAGGGTGTTAGCTGACCTTATTCAGTGCGATGACTTTGGCATGCCACAGAGCCTCGTCATTGTCATGGTTTGTAGCCAAATTGTGTGAGTCATAAAATGTAATGTGATGGGGTTTATAATAGACGTTTATTTACAGTGCATCGGCCCGTTCCGGACGTTCCGCAATGTCATCGAATTCGCTGTCGCCCAGTCCTCGACGTGAATCCAATGGACTTGTTTCCTACCTAGTTCAGAATCCATTGTATCGAGATTAATTCCAATTCCTCATTTTTTACTTTTCAATTCGATTTTTTATTTGAAGTTGTAAACAGTCGTGTGTATACCGAATGATGGATATTCGCTGAACAATATGTAGTTCATTTGTAATCAAAAGAAAATCGTTAAAATGAATCTTGACAGGAGCTAGCTTCGATGCTTTAACACATTGACGACAACGCGAGGTTTCGGCACTATGTTGGCCACGGTGCGCGAACCACGCGTTATACTCGCGATCGCCGCCGCCTCAGGTTGTTCAAGCTAAATGGTTGAGTGATAGAAACCCATAAAACTAATGAGGATCAATATCAACAGGGAAAGCCAAAATCAATTATATGAGGCGAAACATACCGCTCGACGGAAGGTAACGAGTAAGACGACATTCTCTCCTGAAAGACAATGGAATACCCAATGAATAAAAGTAGATAACTTCTTTAGACCAACTGCAATAAAAAACTTCAAAGTCACTTTATGAGTTGATTATTTTAGATCAAAACACATATATTGTCATCTCTAAGGTACCGTATCTACTTCTACTACTATTTAAACCTTCACATTCATAGGAAGAAAAAGTAAACGAAAAATTTATTAGGCTGAAGATTTCGTATGGTTCAGAAATCCTCCTCCAAATTGAAGCATACGTGACCATTCTATGGACCACTATGTTTTTAGCTAGGTCAAGGTCTCCTCCATTCAATAATTACAAGAAACTTCTAGAAGAACCAGGCGTGCGCGAAAAAAATTAGTGTAATGGGTGCGGGGGATATATCCCCCGCGGTCCGACACGGCCTGCAATGCGCGGGATATATATCCCCCGCGTTGTCGTCAATGTGTTAATTAGGTTCTCATTTTACTGCTTTGGACTATGGGAACGTGGTCCAGGTATCGGTGTCTCTGCGCGACTTAAGTGAGTGGAGCTTCACTAGGGGTAGGGAGCGCAAGTTCGTCGAGATCGCTGTGTAGAGACTTGTGGTGTGGTAACTGAAGGCCTCGCAGACGCGCAAGTTCCCCGACCGAGTTCCAAAATAGTCCGCAAAAATCTCAGCAAATCATGACGTGCTCGCGTACTGTCTGATTATTGCGAACTGAACTGTCGAAGCTTCCAGAAATGTCGGAGGGCTGCTGGGAGCCACCAGAGCTGGTGCGGGCAGCCTGGCTAGCCAAGCTTAAGTCGGATTCACGATGGAAAGACAGCCCATTACAATCACAGTCGAAGATAGAGATGGTCAGGAATAAGAAAAACCATGAGAATCCGGGAAATGGGGATCCTTCTTTGCTCGTTATTTTCCCATCAATGCAGTTCTCATCAGTGCTGCCTTCTTCACCGCAGACGCCCTCTCTGCTGAGCGGCTAAAGTCAGACGGCGAAGGGGTGGGCGTGCCCAGGCGCAAAAGACGTGGTTACCGCCGTGCTAGAACATTATCATGATTTGAATTCGATCGGGATTTTTTTTTGAATAACAGTGCGTATAACTGACAACCTTTTTCCTTCTTTCTCCTTTTTCTATCTTCCAAGGCAACCTCGAACGGGCTTTCATGAGGATTTGCTATCTAGCATTCATAGCTGTAGGGGTCTACTCTAGGACTGTCCATCGGAAAGTTTTCAATGAGGAGATGGGGCTCGTATTTCGGCCATTATCCAGGAAGAGGAGCAGAAGTTACTTCGGTCAGAATTTTGTTTGAGATAGTAAGTACAATTGACAATTTTCCCGATCCTTCGCCTTTTTTCCACCTTCCAAGCGACTCGAAGAATGTACCACAAGGAATTTTTTCGAGGATATGCTCTAAAGGGTCTGGGTGCTATACAAGTAGGGTGGGCACGCCTTTCGAACAGAAATGTATGTAAGTGGGACTGCTGCCCGCTACTATACTGTCACGAGAATCGGGGAATTCGTGAGCCAGGGGGAGTGTAGCCAATCTAGGGGGGTGGGGGTGAGGGCAGTCACTTGACATGCGTGAAAAGCTGGGCGTGCCCACCCCACTTGTATAGAGCCGGGGTCTGCTGTAACAGATCCCACCGTCCATTGGAAATTTTCAACGAGGAGGTGAGGGTCGTATTTCAACCATCATATAGGAAGAGAGAAATCAGAAAAGTGACTGCGCAATTAGCAGTTTTACGCCACGCCTGAAAACGAGGCGGATGGAAATTTTACGGTGGAATATTCTCTCGAAGCAGAACCTGTATTCCTTACCCTTACAGCCTATAAAAAAATTAGGTCGGTGCATGATTCCCTAAACGCCTGATTTTTTGTACGTCGGTTTTGAGATCATGTTAATTAGGGTGGAATTTCTTCCTGGAATCGCCTAGACAGAGATGCACGAGCGCGACCGCTGGCACGAGTCCTGGCCTACAGGGCGGATGTAGAGAAACTGCATATTCGAGAGCCTCCGAATTTGCGCTGAACATTCTCCGCAATGAGTGGTGAACATTGTCATAAAAATGTATGCTGTGGACGGCTGACACAACAAGACGTCAAGACGATGGCCACGAATCTCCCTTCAGTAAAGGGTTCAAAGCGTAACATCAAGACGTGAATGTTGTAATGTACCAGAAAATTGGGGAAATTAAGCTCTAATTAACCCTTTAAGCTTCTTTAACCCTAAGATTTCTAATTTTGGGTTTGTCCTAGATTTCGAACTGAACGGTCCACCATTTGAAAAATTTTCATGGTACAGGTTTCTTTATGATTAATTTTGTACAAAACTGGAGTGTGGTTACATTTGTAAAGTTTCCTGTTGCGCCAAAACCATATAAGAGCACCTTCGC